AGCTGAGACGATGTGGGCGTTTGTGGAAAATGTACTCAGAGAGAAGCTGGAGCTACCTGCCACATACTCGTTTAACACTGAGAGGGCGCACCGGGCACTGGGACCTCGACCACCAGCGATGCTCCACCAAGATCGATTGTAGCAAGATTTTGAAGCTACAAGTGTAAAGAGGACATTGTCAAAAAGACATGGGAGAAGAAAGGGTTTCTCTATGAAGGACAACGAGTGTATGTGGACCACGACTATGCTCCAGAAGTGATAAAAAAGAGAAAAGAGTTACGCTGAAGTAAAAAGGGTACTGAGAGAGAGAAGAGAATCAGATTTCAAACACCGTTTCCTGCAAAGCTCCGCGTCTTTTATGATGGAGAGACATGCCTGTACAACTCAGCGGCCGAAGCAACTAGAGACCTGGTGGATAGAGGGATTAAAGTACACATCATCAAACCAGCAGAAGATCCACTGGAAAAGTTACAACGTCTGATGTGGAGTTCCCACCAGACAACGAACAAGCAAGACCAAACTGCAGTGGGCTACAGGGAGAAACTACAGGCCTTTAGAAGAACCACAGAAGAGGAGGCATAAAGGAGAAGGTGAAGAAGGATGCATACAAAACTGAGGGTGTACAATATAGGTTCAGCATAGAATAAGAAAGGACTACGATAAACTCTTCTTTTCAAGTCTGTATCGGGGATTTTTTATGTTCACTTTGAATTATTTAGTTTATTTTACTGTAATATGGACAGGACTGATAAAGGTCATAAGGGCCCCTGGCTGATAGGGGTTTTCCCTTAGAGCTGGGAAAGAGCTCAGAAAAGGCTGGAAAATGTATAACCTCAGGTATGGAAATCCTATTTATGTTTTTGTTTTTATGTGTTATTAGCAGTTCACCAAGTTCGAACAAAGAAGCATTTGGGGTGAAAGAAGGGATGGAGAGAAACAGGGGAATAGTTCATGACAGAGCAAAACAAACTATATGAAGGTAGCCTCGTACAATGTTAACGGACTGTGGAACCAATCAAAAGGAGCAAAGTCTTAAGTAAAATGAAGAAAGAAGGGGTGGAAGTACTGTTATTACAGGAGACACGTCTAACGGGCAAAGAGCATGAAAAATGAAAGAGGAACGGCTATAATCAGGCATTTTCATCATCATATAAAACTGGCCGAAGAAGAGGCTGTGTTGATTTCAAACAAAATCTGCTTTGAAATGGAGAAGATAATCAGTGATAAAGAGGGAAGATACAGTCTGGTGACGGGGAGGTTGGAGGGTGAACTTGTTACACTTCTCAGTGTTTACGCACCTCCAGGGTCTGAATGGAGCTTTTTTACACATATTTTTGACTTGATAACAACAGAAGGAAAAGGGATATTAACAGGAGGAGCAGACTTCAACCAGACGCTTAATCCACAATTGGACTCATCAAGGAAAAGTTTACAAAAAAACACTGTTGGGAAAAAAATTGAAAATGAATGTCACAGCTGGGAATTCTAGACATTTGGAGGGAATTTAACCCCGCCAAAAGAGACTATACCTATTTTTCTGCACCACATTCTTTATTTTCTCGAATCGACTATTTTTTTAGTTACATCAAGGACCTGTACAGAATTGACAGCTGTGATATTGGAGTGATGCATTTATCTGACCACTGTCCATTATATCTGAAAATCAACATATGTAACGATAAGAAGTGTGCAGTATGGAGATTGAATTCAAGTCTGCTTAACGGCCAGATGAAGGATGAAACTGAAGAGGAAATGAGTGAATATGTGAAACAAAGTGACAACGGGGAGGTGTCCCCATCAATATTGTGGGACACTTGTAAAGCTGTGATGAGAGGGAATTTGACAGCCAGATCGACACAAGAAAAAAAATGACTCAAATAAGATTAAAAACATTGCAAACGGATTTGGGAAAATTGGAAAAGGAACATAAAAAGAAATATAGATCATAATATCATGGATGAAATTAAAAGAAAAAAGGCTGAGATTAATGAGATACTATCACAAGAAATTCAGAAAAATATGGTGGACACTAAACAAAGATATTATGAAGCTGGGAATAGAGCTGCAAAATTATTGGTTACAGATTAAAAAAACAGCAAGATGACAGACACGTGTTCAAACAAAATCTATAGTGTCTAAAACTGAAGAAATTCAAAAGTGTTTGGAGTATTACTATAGTCAGCTGTACTCAGGCACATAACAACAATGAATCCCAAATCGATGACTTTTTAAATGATTTGACTTTACCACAAATAACAGCTGAACAAAATGATTCATTGGTGTCTGAAATAACAGTAGAAGAGATAAGCACAGCAATATCCACACTTAAAAACAATAAAAGCCCTGGGGCTGATGGATATACCTCTGAATGGTACAGAACTTATAGGAAAACTTTGATCCCAATGCTCCATAAAACTTTTAACTGGATAATGAAAGGAGGAGCAATTCCAGATTCTTGGCGGGAAGCAGTTATCTCTGTAACTGCAAAGGAAGGAAAAGACGGAACAAATTGTTCCAACTATAGGCCAATAAGTGTGTTAAATGTCGATCATAGATTATTTACAGCAACATTAGCAAGACGTATTGAAAAACTTCTGCCAGATATTATTAGTTTAGACCAAACCGGATTCATAAAACACAGACAAACCCACGATAACATCCGTCTGACTTTGCATATCATGCATCATATAAGCGAAAGGAAGTTAGAAGCAGTAATAATGGGAATGGACGCTGAAAAAGCTTTCGATTCCGTGAGATGGGAATTTCTATTCAGAGTAATGAAAAAGTTCAACTTTCATGAAAAATGTATCAAAACCATTCAGACTTTATACACAAATCCCATAGCGAGGATCAAGGTTAATGGCAGTTTGTCTAAATTCATTCAATTAGAACGGGGATGTGGTCAAGGCTGTTCCGTAAGCCCACTGTTATTTGCCATATTTTTAGAACCGTTAAGTCAGTGGATAAAGCAAAACAATGGCATTAAAGGTGTTACAATGAACGGGGTAGAACAGAAAGTAGCATTATTTGCAGACGACGTCTTGATATACCTGGATAATCCCAACTCTTCCTGGCCAAGGTTAATGAAGGTTTTTCAAGACGCTGTCGGGGTATAAAGTCAATGTTCAAAAAACCCAAATTATAGCTTTCAACTATGTGCCAAACCAGAATATAAGAAACTGTTATGATGTCAATTGGGATTCGAAATCTATGAAGTACTTAGGCATTAATTTGCCAAAAGAGTTTTCAAAATTAAAAATCGAACCCTATTTGGGATTGACATCAAGGGTGGAAGTGATTAAGATGAATGTTTTGCCCCGACTGCTATACCTTTTTCAAAACCTGCCGGTTGAGCCGACTGGGAAGGAATTTAAAGAATGGGATAAAATAATATCTCGATTTATACGGCACGGAGCAAGGCCAAGAATAAGATATAAAACCCTGCAATTACCAAAAGATAGAGGTGGCCTGGCCCGTCCCTGTCTAAAGAGTTACTTCCAGGCGGCTCAAATGAGGGTTTTATTAAATGTATGTGATCCTGAATACTTCACGAAATGGAAAGACATTGAAGAAAGAGCGACAGAGGGGATGCCAGTACAAGCTATATTAGTTGATCCAAAATTAAGATCAGATTGTAAAGTAAATGTAAATCCATGGTTGGGTGTAGCTATCAAAATTTGGACAAATGTTATGAAGAAATATAACTTATTAAGTCAATGTAGATTTTTGAGGTGGATCACTTACGATATTGATTTTGGCACATTTAAAACATGGAAAAACGGACCAAAGATGTACTGGGAGTTAATTAAAAAACAAGGGGTGATGAGTTTCCAGGAAACCAAGGAGTGTTTCAATCTGAAAAACCAAGATTTTCACAGGTACCTGCAGATGAGGCAAGAAATAGAGCAAGAAAGTAAGAAAGTTGCCCTGGATACATCGGGCGTCATAAAAATCATTATGGATGCATACAAATCACAGATAGTTCAGAAAGCTGTTGCCAAACTGTATAAAGCACTGGAGGAATTAAAAACAGACAGTACGGAATATTTAAAAGAAAGATGGGAAAGGGAGGCAAAAATGAAGATGTCAAATGAAGGACGGGTAGAAATTAACAAATACCAATGGAAAACCACTAATTCTTTTTTTGGAGGGAGTGTGGCTGGAAGAACACTGTAAGGTATTTTGTAACACCGGCACAGAGAAAAGGGGGGATACCAAATGTTGGAGGTTCTGTGGCACAGATATAGAGGATCACTTCCACATCTTCTGGGGACGTCCCGTAATACAGAAATATTGGACAGATATAAAAAAAGTGATTGATGAGGTCTTCAAAATCAATATTCCAACCACTTTTGAAATGATGTATCTTGGTATGATTGATATTTTGAATTTAAAGAGATGGGAAGATTATAAAATGTTGAGAATTTTGTTATTGTCTAGTAAAAAAGCGATGACCAGGAGATGGTGAAGTGATCAGACGCCTAAAATAGAGGAGTGATGATATAATATTGAGTATTTATAATATGGAAAAACTCACCGCCTCACTTAGATTGGAAGGTCATAAATTAAAAAAAACTTGGAAAGGATGGTTACACTTTATTAAACAACAGAGATCTGACTTTGTGTAGAACCTGAATGAGTGTCTGGATCACAAAGACTGATTTAACACCCGGTTTAAAGCTACTGTCTTTTATTTTGTTTTATTTTAATTATATATATATATATATATATAATTTTTTTTTTGTATTAAAGTTACATTACAGTTTGTATAAGTAGAATTCAGAAATGTGGAAATGTTTAAATATGGACATTGGACATTCAGAATTGACAATATGGACAATTTGTAAATTTCTTGGTTTGTTAATTATCATGTAAATCCACATCGTGTAAAGACAATAAGATACAAATGAAAAAAAAAAAGGGAGAGACTCAACAAAAGATCCCAACAAGTGATTTGTCTTTGTCTTATTTTTCAGCATTTTATTACATTATGCACTACTCCTGTCGCTGGCGTCACCGTGTGTTGTCATGCAAAGTTTGCTCACTCAGAGTTTTGACGCCCAGGTGCACTCATGACCTGAGTGACCTGTTTCCTGCTCACTTGGCAGCTGCTATTTTATCAGAAAGCTCATACAAAAATAATCGTGACAAATCACCTGCAGTAGCCTTTTGGAGAAATCCCCCTGTGAGCAGGTCAGCTCTAGAACACAGCCTCGTCCAATCGTCCATCTGACCTCCTAAGCCAAGTTACAGCCGGAGGCTCAACGCCAAAGCCAAAAATCAGGATCGATCGTAAATTTGCATCAGATTTTTTCAGTATTTATCTAGTGTCACAGGGCTCCACCAGGTATATGCAGATGATCAGGACGTCACACATGTCATACATTTTTACAAATACAAGCAGCACTTCACAGAAACCACAGACACCCCTCGTGCAGCCGTCAATGCCCCTCCCCCCAGGTGCAAAACCAACTGCCACTCACCTGTGTTGAAGGAGCAGGAAGTTCCCCCCGTGCTGTATGCAGGCCTCCTACACACAGCAGCACAACACTTCACCCCAGTGTCAAATAAAGGTCAATTGCCAAAAGAACATAAAGTCTTTATCTTTTCCTGCACACAAACATAGCAGTTACAAAAATGTAATGCAAAACAACCCAAATCTGGAAATGAAATTGAAAAAATTAAGCAAATCAATATAAAAGAAACAAGTCAGGTTAAATCAAAACAGAACAGGTAACTTAAGCTAATATAGATCACAAAAACAATTCTAATATCTAAATCAATCACTCTCAATCTCTAATGCTCTAATAGTCATTTGTTTCATAAAACAAAGCATTATGAACATCTCCATCTCAGCGTCCGGGGCCCTTCAGGAGAATTTACGCCAAAACCTTCATTGTTTCACTCCAACCGAGGGGCCGTCTCAAGGCCGAGGGTGACGCTCCTAACAGCTGTAAAAAAATAAAAAAAACTACAAAACAGTGAGGCCACAAAAGGTGAACCGTGACAGAGCGATGGACGACTGTATCTCTGCAGACACTTGTTCAGTATCTACAGAAATAAAAGTGGGCAGAGTGTGTCTCCTTGTCCAACATCGTCACATAAAAAGTCTCTGAAGCAGCTTTGTCCATTTCACTCTCATTTATTGTCTAAAATAACAGAACATTAAAATTCAGATCAGATGTTTTGGCACAGCTCCACTGACTCATTTAAAATATAATGTTTTGTGGTTTTATGTGTTTTACTCGATCAAACATTTTGGCGACATCAATAAAACACAGAAATACAGATGGATTCAAACCAAGACACGTCCCAAATATTTATATTATATATGAGTTTCTAAACACACAGATCAGTTCCATGTTCCTTTGTGAATCTAAACTGATTTTCATTTGTTAAAACATCAGATGTTGGACAAAAACAAAAACATTAAGACAAAATCCAACAAACAGAGACACAAACAAGACACAAAAACCACCGGAGTCGACTCAGGAGTTGAATAAACTTCAACAGAATCTGAAAGCTTTATAATCCAGGCAGCTCTGGAAAATGGAACAACAGATGTAGAACAAGGCAGATTATTGTCCACATATGTCCACAATAGAACTGGGACAGTTTCTGTCAATAAAACACTAAAGAACATTTCAGGGAAAAAGAAAAAGTGTTTCTGAATCCAAGAATGGTTTAGTGGGTGTAGAGTCCCACATCTTCTCTCCCTGTTTCACTCTTGGAACATTTTCTTCACTGGTTTAAAAATGTTTAAGGATTATTTTAAAATATGTTAAAAAAAAATGTCAGAGTTTTGTAGAATTTGCTAAAATATAGAATAATAAAAACTGAAAAAAGTAGAAAACTGACCAAAGTCAAGTCCAGGTAAAGTCCCAGTTTGTCAGAGATCATCAGTGACTCTGTCTGAAGGAGACTCTGTGGACACAACATCAGGAGGAGCTCAGGTCGACCAGAGTCACAGAGGAACCTTCAGTCCACAGTCTAAACCCTGGAAACAGAGGCTCAGAGAAGAACGAGGAGAAGGTGTGGATGTGGAACAGTTCTTCATCAGAGGAGATCTGATAGAAGGACAGAGCTCCAGCCTCAGAGTCCAGGAACACGCCCACTCTGCCCGAGGACACGCCCCCTTCACCAGAGGACACGCCCCCTGAGGAGCTCAGCCAATCACAGACTGAATGTTTTCTCTTTGTTGTGGTGGGCAAAGCACTTTCCTTTGTTGATCTCCAGACTCCAGGAGTGATCATTGTTTCCAAACCCACTCTCTCTTCTTCCGCTCCGTCTGATCTTTCTGTAACTCGCTGCTATAAAAACCCACCCGCTCCAGTTCACCTCCCAGTAACAGCGCCCCCTCAGGCCAGTGCAGCTCAGGACCTGAAAGTTAAAGCCTGTGAACCTGTCCTCATGATCTGGATACTTCTGCTCATTGATCTTCTTCACAAGTGTCACAGTTCGATGGTGGTCAGACATCCTCAGGCGTCTGTGAGCTGAGTTTGGGTCCAGAGAGACGTCACAGGAGTCTGAAACACAAACATGTGAATGTGAGGAGAATGTTCATGTGTGAAAGCATCAGTGGACGTAGAGCTGGAGGCGTTTACAGGAGCCACAAAGAGTTTAGTCTTTAGTGTCATGGGCTTTATTGGACACCACGTGGATCTGCTGACTCAGATAAACCACTCAGGGTTCAAGAGTTTGTTCAACTGAGCTGATGCTTCTACAGATGTTCTCTCTGTGTCTGTAGGTTCTCCACAGACCTGGAGTCGTGTCAGCGTGAACGTTCTCCACAGACCTGGAGTCGTGTCAGCGTGAACGTTCTCCACAGACCTGGAGTCGTGTCAGCGTGAACGTTCCATCACAGACCTGGAGTCGTGTCAGCGTGAACGTTCTCCACAGACCTGGAGTCGTGTCAGCGTGAACGTTCTCCACGGACCTGGAGTCGTGTCAGCGTGAACGTTCTCCACGGACCTGGAGTCGTGTCAGCGTGAACGTTCTCCACAGACCTGGAGTCGTGTCAGCGTGAACGTTCTCCACGGACCTGGAGTCGTGTCAGCGTGAACGTTCTCCACAGACCTGGAGTCGTGTCAGCGTGAACGTTCCATCACAGACCTGGAGTCGTGTCAGCGTGAACGTTCTCCACAGACCTGGAGTCGTGTCAGTGTGAACGTTCCATCACAGACCTGGAGTCGTGTCAGCGTGAACGTTCTCCACAGACCTGGAGTCGTGTCAGCGTGAACGTTCTCCACAGACCTGGAGTCGTGTCAGTGTGAAAGGTGAGTCCAGTCCCACGTTAAAGTCACAACATGTTTATTTCATGTTTCTGTCATTGTGATTCTCTTATTAAGACACAAAACAAGACTCACACTTCCTCAGATCTGAGAGTTTACGCAGCTCTGCCCCATCCAACCTGAAACACACAAGTCCAGTTTAGACCAGACCAGGACCAGACCAGACCAGACCAGGACCAGACCAGACCAGACCAGACCAGACCAGACCAGGACCAGACCAGACCAGACCAGACCAGGACCAGACCAGACCAGGACCAGACCAGACCAGGACCAGACCAGGACCAGACCAGACCAGGACCAGGACCAGACCAGGACCAGACCAGACCAGACCAGACCAGGACCAGACCAGACCAGGACCAGACCAGACCAGACCAGACCAGACCACCAGACCAGACCAGACCAGACCAGACCAGACCAGGACCAGACCAGGACCAGACCAGACCAGACCAGACCAGACCAGACCAGACCAGACCAGACCAGACCAGACCAGGACCAGACCAGACCAGACCAGGACCAGACCAGACCAGACCAGGACCAGACCAGACCAGACCAGACCAGACCAGACCAGACCAGACCAGACCAGACCAGGACCAGACCAGACCAGACCAGACCAGACCAGACCAGACCAGACCAGACCAGACCAGACCAGACCAGACCAGACCAGACCAGACCAGACCAGGACCAGACCAGACCAGACCAGACCAGACCAGACCAGACCAGACCAGACCAGACCAGACCAGACCAGACCAGACCAGACCAGACCAGACCAGACCAGACCAGGACCAGACCAGGACCAGACCAGACCAGGACCAGACCAGACCAGACCAGGACCAGGACCAGACCAGACCAGACCAGACCAGACCAGACCAGACCAGACCAGGACCAGACCAGACCAGACCAGACCAGACCAGACCAGGACCAGGACCAGACCAGGACCAGACCAGACCAGGGACCAGACCAGACCAGACCAGACCAGACCAGACCAGACCAGACCAGACCAGACCAGACCAGACCAGACCAGGACCAGACCAGACCAGGACCAGACCAGACCAGACCAGACCAGGACCAGACCAGACCAGACCAGACCAGGACCAGACCAGACCAGACCAGGACCAGACCAGACCAGACCAGACCAGACCAGACCAGGACCAGACCAGGACCAGACCAGGACCAGACCAGGACCAGACAGACCAGAGACCAGACCAGACCAGACCAGACCAGACCAGACCAGACCAGGACCAGACCAGGACCAGACCAGACCAGACCAGACCAGACCAGACCAGACCAGACCAGACCAGGACCAGACCAGGACCAGACCAGACCAGACCAGACCAGACCAGACCAGACCAGACCAGACCAGACCAGACCAGACCAGACCAGACCAGACCAGACCAGACCAGACCAGGACCAGGACCAGACCAGACCAGACCAGACCAGACCAGACCAGACCAGACCAGACCAGACCAGACCAGACCAGACCAGACCAGACCAGGACCAGACCAGACCAGACCAGACCAGACCAGGACCAGGACCAGACCAGGACCAGACCAGACCAGACCAGACCAGACCAGACCAGACCAGGACCAGACCAGACCAGACCAGACCAGACCAGACCAGACCAGACCAGACCAGGACCAGGACCAGACCAGACCAGACCAGGACCAGACCAGGACCAGACCAGACCAGACCAGACCAGACCAGACCAGACCAGACCAGACCAGACCAGACCAGACCAGGACCAGGACCAGACCAGGACCAGACCAGACCAGACCAGACCAGACCAGGACCAGACCAGACCAGACCAGACCAGACCAGACCAGGACCAGGACCAGGACCAGACCAGACCAGACCAGACCAGGACCAGACCAGGACCAGACCAGACCAGACCAGACCAGGACCAGACCAGGACCAGACCAGACCAGGACCAGACCAGGACCAGACCAGACCAGACCAGACCAGACCAGACCAGACAGACCAGACCAGACCAGGACCAGACCAGACCAGACCAGACCAGACCAGACCAGACCAGACCAGACCAGGACCAGACCAGACCAGACCAGACCAGACCAGACCAGACCAGGACCAGGACCAGACCAGACCAGACCAGACCAGACCAGACCAGGACCAGACCAGACCAGGACCAACCAGACCAGACCAGACCAGACCAGGACCAGACCAGACCAGACCAGACCAGACCAGACCAGGACCAGGACCAGGACCAGACCAGGACCAGACCAGGACCAGACCAGGACCAGACCAGACCAGACCAGACCAGACCAGACCAGACCAGGACCAGGACCAGACCAGACCAGACCAGACCAGACCAGACCAGACCAGACCAGACCAGACCAGGACCAGACCAGACCAGACCAGACCAGACCAGACCAGACCAGACCAGACCAGACCAGACCAGACCAGACCAGACCAGACCAGACCAGACCAGACCAGACCAGACCAGACCAGGACCAGACCAGGACCAGACCAGGACCAGGACCAGACCAGACCAGACCAGACCAGGACCAGACCAGGACCAGACCAGGACCAGACCAGACCAGACCAGGACCAGACCAGGACCAGGACCAGACCAGGACCAGACCAGACCAGACCAGACCAGACCAGGACCAGACCAGACCAGACCAGACCAGGACCAGGACCAGGACCAGACCAGACCAGACCAGACCAGACCAGACCAGGACCAGGACCAGACCAGACCAGACCAGGACCAGACCAGACCAGACCAGACCAGGACCAGACCAGACCAGACCAGGACCAGACCAGACCAGGACCAGACCAGACCAGACCAGACCAGACCAGACCAGACCAGAGACCAGGACCAGACCAGACCAGACCAGACCAGACCAGACCAGACCAGACCAGACCAGACCAGACCAGACCAGACCAGACCAGACCAGACCAGACCAGGACCAGACCAGGACCAGACCAGACCAGACCAGACCAGGACCAGGACCAGACCAGGACCAGACCAGGACCAGACCAGACCAGACCAGGACCAGACCAGACCAGACCAGACCAGACCAGACCAGACCAGACCAGGACCAGACCAGACCAGACCAGACCAGACCAGGACCACACCAGACCAGACCAGGACCAGACCAGACCAGACCAGACCAGACCAGACCAGACCAGACCAGGACCAGACCAGACCAGACAGACAGGACCAGACAGACCAGACCAGACCAGACCAGGACCAGACCAGGACCAGACACTGTGGTCCCTCATGTGTCCAGTCGTGCTCCATGGAGATTGGACCATTATTTTGTAGATTCAGCTCAAATGTTTCACACTTACGTTTGTTGTTCTTCTGCAGCTCCATTTTGGGCCTGAAAAATAAAATCAAAGTTGGTTTGAACTTGTTTCTTTCTCTAATGTTTCTGTTGTGATTCTAGAAATGAATTTTCTCGGTGACAGAAACACTGTGTAAACTGTGAGCAGAGCCAGAGTTCATTGTTCTTTCTCTCTGGGTGGACGTGTTTCTCTCCTGCTTTGTCTCGGTGTCTCTGTGTCTCGTGTTTTTATACTTGGAGAGATTCTCTCTGCTCTGCTCTCCCAACACAAATTAACTCTGGATTTGATACTCGGACATGATTTTTCTATGAGAAGCTCATGGTCGGGTGAACCTGTGTGTCTCCACAGAACTTTCCCTGCAGGACACTCGGACGCCTGCAGAACTGGTGAGTCGTGTGTCTGGCGTCTCTGTGGAGACATAGAAACATCTGCCTGTTCACAAACATGATCTTTTGCTGATTGGCTCAGGTCCTGATTTTTCTAAAAGTTGGGATCACTGTGGCGGTGACTGTTCAATGCTCCACTTGGCTGAAAGTCTAACTGAAAGTGAAAGTAAAACTCTGAACTCATGAACTGTGACTATGAGCCTCGCACCACATGTTGGAAAACATCATGGAACAGTTCACGGTGACTGATCACAGACTGGACAGGACTTTGGTCTTGGAGCACAGTGTTTGTATGTATTTGTTTGGAGGATGAGTCCCTTGAAATGTCTCACCGTCTCGTTTTCGAGAGGTCCTCATAGTTACAACACCAGTACAGTGTGGAGAACATCTCTGAGACTTGAAGCTTTACAAAGGCTGGTGTGTAGAAGGAAGGAAATGTGGAATTGTTTTTAATCATTGTAAAGCGTTTTGTGTTGCATTTTTGTATGAAAAGTGTTTTATAAATAAAGTTTGATTTGATTCAACTCAGCAGTGAACAAACGTGTGAGTTTGACACAAACCAAATGACTCTGGACCTGGTGTGTTGGAGACTCACCTGTGACTCATGACTCTCCTCTCTCACATCATCCCCTGTCTCTCTATGTTCTCTGAAGTCTTCATCAAACTCCATCTTCTCTGTGGTTCCTCTGATGTTCTCCGAGCTCCTCCTGATGATCTCTGTGAGGACACAAACAGAACATGAGACTCATCAGTTTGTCTTTAAGCGTGGACATGGCACTGACACGTGGATCTGTGCGCTGAACCAGATCTTGGAGAAATAGAACTCCTCTGTCTGCAGCTTCATGAAGTTAAACCTGGATGTTTTGTTGGAGATTCTCTGTGTGACCATCTGATGTTTGCAGATGATCTGGTCCTGTGTCCTCACAGTGCAGGTCTACAGCAGCTTCTGATCTGCTCCCAGTTTGGTTTAGAACATGATGTTAAGTAAAAAGTTCTGAAAAGTCACATAATGACCTGGGAAAGCTGACGCCCCAACCTGCCAACTGTGTCCTTCAAGAGGAACCCTGGAGCACTTCCTGATCTCCTGCCCAACAGTCCTCAGCCAGGGTCATTACACCTGTCGCCACAACCAGGTTCTGAAACCAACAGCAGATTCCACCAACAGAGAGATCAGCAGGTGCAGCAAAGTAACAGCACTAATCCACCTGCACATCACATTTATCAAGAAAGAAGAGCAGCCAAAAACAGAGAAGAAGACAACAAGTTCTCTGTAGGAAGTTCTCTGTAGACCTTGAGAAGCAACTGAGATTCCCTCAGAACATCATCAGCTCCACCCTGAGGCCAGACATCCTGGTGTTCTCAGAGAGAAGAAGAACATCATAATCCTGGAGCTGACAGGGTCATGGAAGGACCACGTAGAAGAGGCTCATGAAACAAAGAGGTCCAAGTATGAACATCTGACCATCGACTGTCGAGCTCAGGGCTGGAAGGTAAAATGCCCATCGAGGTTGGCTGCAGAGGATTCATGGGCCACTTCACAGAGTCCTCAGAGCACTGGACAGAGCAGGAACAGCAAGGAGCAGAAGAACATCAAAAATACCACAGAAGCAGCTGAGAAATCATCAAGATGATCCAGAGAGGAAACCATGGGGGAAGTGAGTGCTACAGAACACAAGACACAGTCTGATCAGCCGTGGCTTGGTCACCTGGACAAAGGAGTCTGATGTTGAAAGACCCGAAACACCAAAAAACCTCAGGTCACATGATGATGTGTTCAGGAGCTCCTCTACAAGACGGATTTAAGAACTATCTACTCTGGCAAAACCAGTGACTCCCAGGAATAGTCTGGATGACAATCAGGAATAGACTGATGACGACTGGAGAGGCAGTTGACAACTTGGAAAGACAGAACTTGAGGCAGGGAGGGTCGCAGCCTGAACCACTTCCTCCATGAGGAGAAGCCTCACAGAGCTACAGATCGACTCATGGGGGACACCCCCAGAGGAGCTCGAGAGGGGCAGAAGATCTCCAATCTGACTGACTCAAGGTTAGGACTATTGGCATTGGAGTAATGACCACGACCGCAGTATGCAGGTACAGAAAAACCTGCTAAAACAACCACTGCTTAAAGCCCAATTTATGGTCATGCGTCAAATCGTCTGCATCACGATACAGAGTCTGCGTCATCGTGAACAGAGCGTCTGCACCAACCCACATGCACCTCCAGAACTACTAACTACACATCGAACTGATGTAGACAATAAGGGCTGCTGTGATTGGTCGTCTCTACATCTGCTCTACACACATTTCTGGTCCTCCACTTTCCAGCTTAATTTTGTAAACACAA